ACATACAAGAGCTGAAGAAACGTCACACTCGTAATCGTTTATTTACAATACTGATCTGTATCATGGCAATACCAACAATCACCGATCATCATCCACCTAGCCATGCTACCGGATCCACTTCCGATTCATCTCCCCAAGCCTCCTCTTCATTCAACCAAGCCTCGATTGCATCCGCCAGAGCTCCCGATGTGTCCGCCCGAGCTTCCTTTGCATCCGCTAGAGCCTCCGCTGCATCTGCTGCATCCTCTTGAGCCTCAAGTGTAGCTCCCGGTGCGTCCGCTCGAGCGTATATTTCATTCGCCTCAGCTGTCAGTTGAGCCACTCGGACGTTCCACTCTTGCACCTGAACTCTTAACCAATTTATATAAGGAGGCCAATGTCTCTCCGCTGGCTGTTCTTGATTGATTGGTGGATCCTGAAATACACAACTTTAAACAAGAACTCAGCAAATGGGATAAAACAATCGAAAGTGTAGTCACTAAAATGATTATAGTAAAATAAAATAAAGTTAAAAAAAATGAACTACTGTCTTATTTGAACTATGTGTACTATTCTTTCAATATTCTGAATTTATTCATACCATGTCTGTGTTCGTGTTCGTTGCTGTTGTTTCCTCAGTCTTTCGCTTGATGAAAAAGCTAACACAAGTATGAGTAAAGAAAACTTGTTTATGACGAGGTATATAAATACGAGAAATAAAAGAAAGCACAAATGTCAATAGGCAGCTTCTTATTCTCTATTTCATGAATGGCTTATTCCAAGAATAAAATGAATAAAAAAGGTCAACTATTAAGCATATTGTTGCAAAGAAAAGCATGTAGCGAATATATTGACGCAAAGCCTCAAACAGACTAGGCGAGATTGTAGGTGAATTATGAAATGTATTTGATATTAACCTATAGCAACATTGACCACATATACTAATGCAGTTTAATTCGGTCTAGCCTAATAGAAGTCAAAGGTCAATGCGAAATAACAAATACTTATTTGTGGTTGAACAATAGAATCCATCTAAAAGAAAAAGATAGTAAAACATTTGATTTTAATCGATTATTAGAAACTTGTAAATACTTACAAGATGTGTTTTTTAAAATTTTACTGTTAAAATTGTTTTGAATTGTTCGCAGTTCTTAGAAAATAATAGAGATCACTCTGTTTGAAATACTGAGAGAGTTTTATAGGAAACTATAGTATATATATTTTGTTTATGTTTAGTATTAGAATAACGGGTGAAATGTTTGATACCTTATTTAAGTGAAGAGGTTACTACCATCTATGATGTTTATTTTATTGTTAATGATGATACACCATCTCGTATTAATCTCGATTATTTTGTTCTTCAATCATCATTTAACTAAAAAAAGAAACCTCATTAAATAGCCAGCCTAATTTATTTACTTTTTACATTATTTAAATGTTGAGAAATAGATTGAGATAGTTTATCTTTGAAATGAAGTTTCATTCTTCGATCTTCCGATAAAATAGTTGATATATAATCAATAAAAACTTGAGGGCGTGGGTGTATATGTAATCTTAATACCTCAAATCAAAAGGGAAGGAGAAAGACTTCTGAGATCTGAAACAAATAGTACATCGATCAAAGGTATATATATATAATAGACTTTATCTTTTAATAGTTACTTTATAATTCGAATCCTTCAGTAATTTTTTGTATACAATGTTAAATAAAATAAGCAAATTTATTTATTTCTTTTGATAAAAATATAGATTTTTTTATTTATTGAAAAGAGAAAGAATAGCGAAAATGCAGTTCATTTTGTATCATATTCATACTGCTTATGCAACTTGTGCGACATAAGTGGCAATGCCACAAGTATTTTGTCCGCGTAACACACGTATATATCCTTTTTCTCCCCAATCAGAACCTGTATAAAAAAAAAGTGATATGTAAACTAGTTTATATTCAATAAATACTTACCCCAACTATTTTTACATATCCAATACAAATCTCCCGAATCCGTTTTTCCATAACCAACAAGTTGCATCTATTAATAAATAAAAAAAAGTAAAAATTACAAAATTCTCTATATATGCAATGATTATCAATACATACAGCATGATCAACCGTTGTTTTCGAGCATGATTTATCTGTATAAATACCTAAATTATAAAGAAATAACATTAATCAATATAATAAAATGATGAATATGTGTCTTACCGCTTATATAAAATTCAAAGGACATTTGACTTGCATCAATACCAATAAATAACGAAGAATTTTGAATCCATGTTTCCATAGTATTTTCATTTTGATCCTTAAGTCGCATAACTTTATTAAACTAGAACGAAATAATAATCGAACTCAAATACTTATATAAAGTTGGACCTCAAATATTCAATTATACATACATTAGTAAATGGTTTACATTTATCTGGTTGACACTGACCAGTAGTTGATGGATAATCATCAGCACGACAAATACCACGGAGTTTAGCAATACATTCGAAAACATCACTCTCTTTTGGACAACAGTCAATGACACGAGCAACACTACCAGCTACAAGATTTCCTGTTTGAATAGCATATAAGGTCTCAATTACTTCTAAAAAATATTATTTTCATTTAAAATAAGTTTGATTAATATTATATTATAAATAATTACCAACAGCAACAATTGCATCTACATCTCCTATAACACCTTCATTTCGTACTGGTGAAATTACACCTTTTGTTCGCCAATCTAATGAGTCTGGTAAATTCATTGATTCAAGAGAGTTTCCTATATTCTCAGAATGAAGTTCAAAATGACGTTTTGAGGAAGATACAAGTTCCTAAAATAATAGATCCTATTTATTAATATGTATCATACATATTTTCAAAAATTACTTCGATACGTCGATCAGCTAAATGATTTATGCCAACTTTAAATGTTGCATTTGGATGAGTTCGTTCATAATCACGAATTCGATTTACATTTTCAAGAAAAATTTGTTTACGTTTTGCTTCTTCAGCAGCTGATTTATAATATTTATTATGATTACGTTTAAATTTAAGCCAATCAAGTGATGAACTACTAGCAACTACTCCGAACAATACAAGAAAAATGATTAACTAAACAACAACAAACAAATAACAATTTATATTTATCACATCTTTAAGCCTATACAAATAACTTACTTTTATATGCATCCTTTTTATTCTAAATGACAACATGTGCTTTATGTGATTATATATATATATACATGCATATCATTTAAAACAAATATTTGATAAGAGAAATGACTATACCACAACAAATAATGAAGCAAGATTAGATTGCCTCGTTTTGATGACGTTAGATATTTTCTTATATTAGAAACAATAAATTTCATTGAATATTGTTCATATATATTTATTTATTTTACTAACATTATTGATTTATCATTGTCATCAATCGTTTAATGATGATTAAGCATTCATCAACTATAAAATCATGATTGATTCAGAACTTCAACATAGAGAAAATCATTAAAACTGTCTTTCTATACATATATGTCTATCATTTGCTTGTATGTTCCGAGAACCTTTATGAAATATGCTACTTTTTCATTCATATTGTATGATTGTAAAGTCATTCTCTATAGAAAAAGTAACAACTATTATTTATCGTAAAATGACATTTTTAAATATTTTGCTAAAAGACTTCAGGAAGATTATTAAAAATTAAATAATGAAGCAAAAAAAGCCGATTCAAGAAAAGCTTCGCGTGATTTATTTAATCTTCGAAGTAGTTTTAAAAAATGGAACATTATTGGTAATTAACTAATATAGGCTTTTTTGTCAAAGCAATCATGAAATAATGTATTTTTTGTTAATGTATGTTCTAACTATAGAAAATAGCTAGAGTGGAAAAAAGTCAAATTATTTTATAGATTTAAATTTACTGTTTATTTAGAATTCTAAACATATTTCAATCGAAAATTTCGTAAGAAATCGTTTGATATTGCAATAAAATTATCTTGTTCAAAGATCTATGTCTATGAACTATCAATTTTTGGTACAAATTTCAGCTCGAATGATTGAAGTATTGCGGAGTAATGAAGTAAAGATTGTTTGAATAAGCATGAAAATCAATTAGTTCTATTATTACTTCTTGTTACTATTTTGACAATATGTCAAGAAAGACAAATAATAGTATATATTTGCAATTAATCCTGCTAGTTTGAAGGAAAAGCTAGAAAATTATATATGATTTGTGAGTTTTTCAGAAGTCATAGTTTGTTAAATATAATGACTTTGTTTTTGTTGTTGTTTCTAGCTTTACAATTAGAAGAAACATAACCTACACTAAAATTCGTTAACATTAAAAAAAAAGGAACCTCTAAGAAGAATTCCATCGCAATTTTCAAAGAAAAATATAGTATGTGATTCTACTTAATACCCAGACGTTAAACACAATATTGTCAAGATAGAAATGACATTGTATTATCTAATAAAGACGACCTCTAAAAAATTCACAAATCATATATAATTTTCTGGCTTTTCCTTCAAACTAGCAGAATTGATTGAAAATCCATACTATTATTTTTCTTTCTCAACATATTGACAAAATAGTAACAAGAAGTAATAATAGAACTAATTGATTTTCATGCTTATTCAAACAATCTTTATTTCATTGCTTTTCAATACTTCAATCATTCGAGTTGAAACCTTTACCAGAAATAGATAGATCATCGTGATCGTTTCCACTTGAAAATATTTTACTACGATAAGATTTGTACACAATTTATCTAATTATAATATACAAGTAAGTATTTTTTATTTTAAATAAAAACAGATCTAGATTATTGATAAAGCCTGAATAGATGAAAAATAATGATGAATTAACGATAAATTTATGCAATTTCAGTCTTTCATGTGACAAAAAAATTGCTTTTAATTGAATTATAGAAATATTTATTTATCTTTATTACAAAAACAGACCATGCAAGTTTGTAGCAATTGTCTATTCTTATTTCGAAATAAGCTGATTATTTTTTCTTGTGTGCATTATAATTATATTTGTTCTTCTTCATAGCATTACTTTAAATATTCTTTTTCTTTGTTTTTCTTTTTATTATTGACCTTGATGTAATACTAGCTTTCGATCATTTTCCGTTCGTGTTTAGAAAGAATTAGTTTATCACCATTATTTATTTCTAATTGATATGACTGATTCATACTATGTAGAAACATGTTTTATGGAAAGCATAAATTGAGGTTTTACCCATACACAAATATTGTGATGATCATTGTAACTTTCAACTCGAATACATGTCATTATTTTAAAGAATTTATGTATTGTTACTAACAACTTCATAGTTTCATCTAGCACAATAATGCATTTTAATGAAACTTTCAGTAACAAATGTCTTTATTACTATATATTAAAACAATTTTAGTAGATCGTTAATACTATGTTTAATTCGTTTCATCATCGTCAGTCTTTTCACTAGTAATATTTTCAGAAGTTTCAGACACTGCTGTTTTTATAATAGTCTCAGTTTCTATAAGAAAAAAAAAGAATATATAATAAATAAGTTGTATTAAAAGTTATAGTACCTGTAGAAGTAAATTTTTCTTGATCACTTGAATTATTTTCAGATTTGCTATACTTAATTATTCGTGATTTATGACCATCCGATTTCTTAGTTGTACCATGAGTAACAGTCTTTCGATGTACGTTAGGATGGGCATGTAATGTTGTACTTCTTCCATGTGTATCTATATGTGTTTGTGCTTTTGTATGCGGATGACTTCCATGTGAGACTGTTGCTCCACGTGATCTTGTCGCTTCAAGAGCATGTGTACCTCCGGCTATATTGAAAAGAAAATAATTTGATTAAATTTCTAATAACATCAAAAAATAGAGTTTTATAAATATTACCTGCATGTGCAGTTTTTGTATGAGTATCTATGGAATTACGTCTTTTAGGATTTGTTTTATTATGTACATTTATATGCTCGACAACATCAGATTTTTTGTTAACTATCGTATGTCCATGCGTTGTATTCTTCGTTCCAGTATGATTAGAAACATGTTTATTCTTATCGGAATGAGTCTTATCAGTATTAGAAGTTTTGTGTGGTGTAGCCAGTGATCCAGGCATTGATTTTAAGTTGTTTGTTTCTAATTAGAGAATAACAATTGATTTTTTTACTACACGTTTTTCTATAAAATAAAGAGCGTAAAATCGTAACATTTAACAATATCAACAGTAGTAATTATTTAACGTTATTATAGTAAAAACGAAAAAAGGCGTATTAGAGAGGAAGTAGAATTTAGAAAATACCGGAAAAAGAAAAAGAAACTGACATCTGAGTCGTTTTGCGTGACTGATTAAAATCTCTAATAACATATTTACAAATACATGTGTATTAAATTATATTCAAAAGCAGACTATAATATATATTCTAAAGTCTATAGTATTATTTTGTTAGTAAAATATATTTGATTATAATTGCACTAATGAACGATATTTGAAATATAAACTAAATAAACTAGTAGCATCGACCTTCATCGTGAAATGTTTATGTGACTGACATGCTCCTAATTGATATAACCGGAAAAAAATCCTCGACATAGAAATTATGAGAAAATGGCATGTTGCAAGTAACCTTGATCACTCTCGGGATCAATTTTAATAAATTTTAAAGTATATATCATATCGATGTAGTCAGATCTGTTATAGATATATACATGATCACAATATTTTCTTCTATACGTATTTTTTTTGTGTAAGTGTTGTTAATCATGCATTATGGAAATGTTTTGATCATAACATAATATTTTTCTCATATATATTTGTTAGTGATATTTAAACGTATAATTTATAAATAATAGCTATATTACATAAAAATCTTGTTTGGTTGTTTATCTAATTTCCTAAAGTTAATGATATTATATGACGACTTCTATTGATCGTTCTTCATGCATATTAGATCATATAATGAACGTCTACACATAGTAAAAGAGTCAAGTTTCTTACGTTCAAATACATTAAAAGTATTGAACAGATGTAAGATGAAGTTAGATAGAAGAAACTATTTATTACGAATTTATAGTTTTTAGTAATATAAATAAGAAGAAAATTACATGTCTATCAGAATATAAAAAAAATAGTTGTTATATGATTTATTATTGTTTGTTTCATAAATTTTTCATCTATTATTTTTTTAGTCGATACATTCATTAAAGCGTATACGGTGTTTTTGACAAATACTTGGTTGACAACATGGCACGAATTCCCATTTACATAAAATACATATACGACCTTTTCTATCTTTATAATATGTTGAATTTTGATCACGTCGTATAACTGTTTGCTTTTGATTCATTAAATCATTATCTTGTAAAATAGCAGTATCATCAGAAATAATAGTACGTAAAAATATATTAGATTGTGCACGAGGTATTTCAAAATCAATATTTTCATGACTTTGAATATTGTTATCATTTCGATTCTCTTCAAATGCCATCGTTATTGACATTATCATAATCAAAACAATATTTAGTTTAAGCTGAAAAGTATTCATAGTTTTTCAATGAATATACACAAAAATACTCGTAATTATATATATATATCAATTTACTATTCTTTCTTATGTTAATCATGCATTTATATTGCTTATTCATCTAAGCAGTTTTGTATACATATTTTTCTCTTTCTATATCTTCACTTAAGATTCAACAAGAAATACTCGTATTGAATGTATTCATCATTCAAATAAAATAAATGTTCTGATTATTCATGACCTTCTTTTTTTTCAAGAAGCTATTGAGATTTTATAGTAAAGAAAAAA